CGGTGGGAATTGTCTGAGGTTGGGATTGTGGCCCTTGGGGGTCCTTCCCAACTCATCCCATGATCCCACAAATCCCACAATCCCACAAATCCCTGCCCTGTCCCAATTCCCGCTGATTGTCCCGCTCCAGGCCGCGATTCCCGGCGGGAATTCCCTGATGTGGGAATTGTCTCCCCACGGGGAGTGGGTGCTGAGGAGCATCTGCAGGTTGAACCACAACACTTTGGGATCCATCCCACGATCCCACAATCCCACAATCCCATAAATCCCTGCCCTGACCCAATTCCCGCTGATTGTCCCGCTCCAGGCTGCGATTCCCGGCGGGAATTCCCTCTGGAAGTGTCTCCCTGCAGGGAGTGGGTGCTGAGGAGCATCTGCAGGTGGACCCAGATGAGCTTTGGGATCCATCCCACGATCCCACGATCCCACAATCCCATAAATCTCCTCCCTATCCCGATTCCCGCTGATCGTCCCGCTCCAGGCCGCGATTCCCGGCGGGAATTCCCTCTGGAATTTTGTCTCCCCGCAGGGAGTGGGTGCTGAGGAGCATCTGCTGGTTGAACCAGAACACTTTGGGATCCATCCCACGATCCCACAATCCCATAAATCCCCTCCCTGTCCCTCCTGCCGTGTCCATCCCGCTCCAGGCCGCGATTCCCGGCGGGAATTCCCTCTGGAATTGTCTCCCCACAGGGAGTGGGTGCTGAGGAGCATCTGCAGGTGGACCCAGATGAGCTTTGGGATCCATCCCACGATCCCACAATCCCACAATCCCATAAATCTCCTCCCTATCCCGATTCCCGCTGATCGTCCCGCTCCAGGCTGCGATTCCCGGCGGGAATTCCCTCTGGAATTTTGTCTCCCTGCAGGGAGTGGGTGCTGAGGAGCATCTGCTGGTTGAACCAGAACACTTTGGGATCCATCCCACGATCCCACGATCCCACAATCCCATAAATCCCTGCCCTGACCCGATTCCCGCTGATCGTCCCGCTCCAGGCCGCGATTCCCGTTGGGAATTCCCTCTGGAATTGTGTCTCCCTGCAGGGAGTGGGTGCTGAAGAGCATCTGCAGGTGGACCCAGATGAGCTTTGGGATCCATCCCACGATCCCACAATCCCACAATCCC